GTGTAGTAAAAAATGTACAGCTGCAGGTGTGATCTTCTATGAGAAGTATTCCCCCATCATTTATTAAGCAGATAAGGTGAGCAGCTGATTACTTCAATCCAGTGAGGACTTGATCTGAGTTAAGAATAAATTGAAATTTAGTAAGACTGTGTATCTCTGCTATGCTTCTGTTCCTAGTTAAGGACCCTCCAGAAATTCTTGTTGAGAACATAGAAGGTCTTTGAATCTCCTGTCTAAAACACTGCAGGAGATTTAGTTATTCTCTTTAGAGATCTTTTAATATAGCTCTTTAGACTCTGATGCAAATTCAAATTTGGCAAATGATACAAAGGAGATATTAGCCATGTATTTTAGGCATCCCTCACCCTGGTAGGTCTTTCTTTTCTCAAAAACAGAAATGCAAAGATTTTACACTNTTAAGGCAAGTATTTGAGAATATTAGGACCTTTGTCTGGCGTTAAGTAAGCGGAGTGATATCTAATGTTCTCCAATTTAAAAACTCATGATGGTTGACTATCCCCTCTCAGGATTGTATTCAAGCTCCTCAATTCGTAATCAGAGCCAATATATTTTTGTTTCTTTCTTTTTATCGTTGCATAATGGATACAATCACACAGGGCTGCAAACTGTTTTAAATGCATTAAATATTTGTATGACAACAGTCTATCTTTAAATTCCCAAATGACTTCATGCAACTCTCCACCTAATTCACCTCCAACTAACGACATTCTACAGCCAAATAGACTGAATTACCCATTTCGTTGGGTTCCCATAGTAGGCTTTTTACCACTGATATGTTCACTTACATATTATTTTAGTTGGCTATATAACATCTATCTTCTCTGTAAGATTGTTAACACATTAAAAAAAAAAAGATGCTACACAATTCATTTTTTCATCCTAGTTGTTCCTGGCACACTGACTGTGGAAAAGAATCAGATAGGTGCCATAAGTTTCTAGTACAGTCTGAAATTTTGACTGTGTCTGTAAACAGAAAGTGAAGCCCCAAGTCATATGCTTCTGGAATGGCTACCCTAAACTACACTGGTGTTAGCCACACAGTCTTCCACTTGCTGGGCATCCCCGGCCTTGAGGACCAACATATGTGGATTTCCATCCCCTTCTTCATTTCCTATGTCATCGCCCTGCTTGGGAACAGCCTGCTCATCATAATTATCATCACAAAGAGCAGCCTCCATGAACCCATGTACATCTTCCTCTGTATGCTGGCCAGAGCAGACATTGTCCTCTCCACGTGCACAGTACCCCAGATCTTGGCCATCTTCTGGTTCCGTGCTGGGGAGATCTGCCTGGATCGCTGTATCACTCAGGTATTCTTCCTCACTTCCACTTTCATGTCTGAGTCAGGGATCTTGCTGGCGATGGCATTTGACCACTACATTGCTATATGCTACCCACTGAGATACACCACTATTTTTACAGACGCACTGATTGGGAAAATTGGTGTGACTGTCTTTCTGAGAAGTTTTGCTACAGTATTCCCCATGATATTTCTTCTTAAAAGACTGACTTTTTGCAAAAGTAACATTATCCCAAACACTGTTTGTGAACACATTGGGTTGGCCAAATTTTCCTGTGATGACATTCGAGTAAACATCTGGTATGGATTTTTTTGTCCTAATGTCAACAACTTCTTTAGATACTTTTCTTTTTTTACTTTCTTTCTTTTTTTTTTTTTTTTTTTTTTTGTGAACAAAANTTTATTAAATAGACTATCTTTATCCCAGTGTAAATTCTTGCTTCCGTTGTCATAGACTAACTAAGACAGCAGAAATCTTACCTGAAATGCATTTGGAAGTTAGTGACTATGTAATATTTATATCAACAATCAAGCACATAATTTATTTTATAAAAAACTTTCTATACAGTTTGGTAGTCTTATGCTAACTATTTCTTTTTACTGCATATTAAGTGTTAACACCAGAGAAAACATAATATTGGCTGAAAATGCTCTTTTAATTGTTGATGTTCTTACCATTAACCACCTCACTAATGTGAGCACTCCAACCTGACATACTGTGACATACATAAAGCTTTGATATCACTAAACCCAGAATTATGTTATTAATGTTTTCTCTTTCATTTCTCTAATGAAAGGAATGGATGATAGTCAAATAAAAAAGTGTGCAAGGTCAACTATTAAAAAGAAAAGTAAAGAAAAAGATGAGTTAAACATGGTAGGAGACCTTGATGGCATTTTAACTTACCCTTGCTTGACCCTTCTTCCCAGCTCAGTAGCAGTTTTGAAGAAGGCAACCAGTATTCCTTGTGTGGGTCTCTGCTTCTGGAGGCAGCAGAGTAGACCTTGTTCTGAAGGAATTGTGTTTGTCTATTTTAACTGTCTGGGTGTTGCCTGAAGGACTAACACAAAGTGCTCACATTTGTTTTGCCTAACTCTGAGCTCTCTCAGGACATAAAAGCAGCTATGTGAAAGATGTTTCTCAAAACACTGAAAGGCAGTGAACTGGGCATTTGCTGCCATTGCCACTTGGTACAAACAATTATAGTTGGGGCAAACAATAGATACACCAAAAGATTGGGGGAAAATCTGGAGCGAGAGATACTTTGGGGAATAAGGGCTTTGCAAAGCTTCTGCACATAATAGGAAATCTAGAAAGCTTCACTCAAGCCTCGGCACAGAGAACACACTGCACACCAAAATCAGTTGTTTTTCTATACACTAGCAATAAACGATCAAAATTAAGAAGACAATTTTATTTACAATTGCATCAAAAAATAAAATACTTATGAATAAATTTGACCAAGAAGGTGCAAGACTTGTACACTGAAAACCACAAAAAATTGCTGAAAAGAAATTCAAGAAGACAAAGAAGAACCCTGTGATGTTGCATTGGAATTAGAGCTATCAGTATAAATTAATGATTCAGGGAGAGAAAAAGAAAAAAAAGCTTTTGTTTTCTTGACTCTGATAAAGGAAAGAAAGAGGCTAGAAACAATGACACCAAAATAGCAATGAGCACACCTAGTGCTCAAACTTCTTTTCTAAATACTATTTATTCACCATTAAAAGTATCTGAGGGATCTTGGAGAAACNACTCCCTTCCATGGTCTCACCCAGCTCCTCTTCCTCTGCAGTATGATGGATAACAGAACTATTTATGAAGTTCTCAGCCTTCAGCTGGCCTGAAGACATGACGCACAAGTATTTTGGGTTTTATCAGAATTTTATCACTGTTATGTAGAGACATTGACAAGGAAACACATCAAATATTGGTGGAATTTCAAATATAAATAATTTCAAAAACTATATTATATGACCCCGGCTCTTCATACTGTAGTTAAAAGAATAGGACACCATTACCTGCTCAGGAAATGCTTCTCCCCTGACCCCCTACCAGTGGCCACAAGACCTCAGTTTGCCCCTTAATCCATTCATAGAAGATAAAAGTATGTGTAGCAACTTTTTTTAAATCTTCAGGTCCCAGCTGTATTCTTAGAGCTGTGACAAGATTCTTGAGCCTCAAAGTCCTATTTGGGGAAATTGATGATGACACCACCTACTTTCCTGTGCTATTAGAAGCCATTAATGGGTACCATAGGTAGCATTTTTACATTCGTCCCTAACATTGAGATTTTTAAAATAATTGATCTTATCTATTTCACTGTGATAGTTATCCATCAATATATGAATTTATAGTACTAGGCAAATGCTTCTGTGTCCTGACATTCCAGTCTTTGCTCTCTTTCTTCCTTCCAATCTCTCTTTTACTAGCTGCCAGGTTAATAAATCCCAAATATTCTCCAGTTTCTTAACTCATCATGGCTGACCATTTACTCACAGATTAAATCCAAGATCCTTCATTTGTATTCTGAGCAAATCTGATTTGGTGGTCATCTTCTGTCCAATTACCCAATTTTGCAGTGCCACAACTACACAGAGATGAAAAAGGTTTTAAACACACCTGGCATTTTCTTGTCAAACATTTCTCCTTAAATTCCCAAATAACCTAGGTCCAATCTCTTCTTGGTATTCCCACCAACTTTTGACGTCCTAAACTATCTTCAAAGGTAAGCTTAAAAATAACTTGTTCTTGGGCCAGCCAAGTGGCTCAGTTGGTTAAGAGCTTGCTCAAGAGTGAAAGCATTGAGTAACAGGGTCACCAGTTCGATTCCCACATGGGTCATTGAGCTGCACCTGAGCTAAGCTGCTGCTGAGCTGCCAACAAGTGGCAGGATGGCTCAACTGGTGAGAGCTTGTGCTCCTAACAACAATATTGCCTGTTCGATGGTGGGCTACACCTGCTCACAACTAAAGACTGAACTTGGCACCTTGAGCTCAGCTGCCACCCGGGTGGCTCAGAGGATAGAGCGTGTGCTCTTAACAGTGAGGCTGCTGGTTTGACTCCCACATGGGATAGTGGCTACACCCACCTGCAATTAATTTAACACAGCAATTTGGACTGAGTGGCTCGACTGGACTTGGAGCTGAGCTTGCTATGCCCTCCACAACTAAGACTGAAAGACAACAACTTGGCTGTTCCCCTTCCCCAATTCCCTAACATTGTTCCTCTCCCTTAATTTCCCAACACTATTCCCCTCCCTCAATTCCCCAATAAAATCTTTAAAAAAATAAATAAATAACTTGTTCTTAAAGCCAACATGAATTCAGAGTGAATTACTCCTTCCATTGTGTCCCTGTATTAGTTTAATTGTGTACCACAAAGATGTTCATCATTAACTTAACTTAATCATTTAATTTTCTATACTTGTACAAGTATAAGAGTCCATATTGTGTGTGAGATTAAGATGTCATTCAAAAAATTATATCTTATTTATCTTTATATGCATCATAATTCCTTACATCCTCAGAATGGAATAGGATCAGGTCAGTGCCAAAAGCACCTGGTAATACAAAAGGGAAAAAAATATATATATATATATATAATACATATATATTCCAAATTTTTCTCTGTCTCTTCTGTGAATAGGTGGTAAAGTCCTGAAAGATCTCCACAAACATGGCTACCTTAAACCACACTGCTGTTAGCCACACAGTCTTCCACTTGCTAGGCATCCCCGGCCTTGAGGATCGACACATGTGGATTTCCATCCCCTTCTTCATTTCCTATGTCATCGCCCTGCTTGGGAACAGCCTGCTCATCTTCATTATCCTCACCAGAAGTAGCCTCCATGAACCTATGTACCTCTTCCTCTGCATGCTGGCTGGAGCAGATGTTGTCCTCTCCACATGCATAATACCTCAGGCCTTGGCCATCTTCTGGTTCCGTGCTGGGGAGATCTCCCTGGATCGCTGTATCACTCAGGTATTCTTCCTCTCTTCCACTTTCATGTCTGAGTCCGGGATCTTGCTGGCGATGGCATTTGACCGCTACATTGCCATATGCTACCCACTGAAGTACACCACTATTCTTACACATGTGCTGATTGGGAAAGTTGGTGTGACAATCTTTCTGAGAAGCTATGGTACAGTTTTTCCTGTAATATTTCTCCTGAAAAGACTGACTTTCTGCAATAGTAACATCCTCCCAAACACTACTTGTAAACACATGCTCTTGGCCAAAATTTCCTGTAATGATATCAGAGTTAACATCTGGTATGGTTTTTTTCTCCTAATGTCAACCTTGGTCTTAGATGTTGTGCTAATTTTTGTTTCATATATGCTTATTCTCCGTGCTGTCTTCCACATTTCATCCCAAGATGCTCGCCACAAAGCTCTCAATACTTGTGGCTGTCATGTTTGTGTCATCATTCTCTTTTATGGGCCTGGGATCTTCTCTGTTCTTACTCAGCGGTTTGGACACCACATCGCAGTCCATACTCAGGTTCTGCTGGCCAATGTCTATAGTCTCATTCCACCTATGTTAAATCCCATCATTTATGGGATTAAGACCAAGCAGATTCAGGACCTGGTGGTTCATTTGCTGTTTCCAAAATAGAAATGACTGTAATAATAGAAACTAACCTTGTACTTTTCTTAGTAATCCTCACCATGATTGAGGTTACATTTTTGTATCAAGATGTGGAGGGATGCAGTAGAAATACTAGTCAAATGCTACCATGTCTTGTTGTCTTAGAGCAATTGTATCAAGAATGTGTTGGTCAATGTTTCTTCCAAAGCCTTTAATAAGTCATTAGATATCAGTGTCTTTGGTGTTAGCATTCTCATTCATAGAATTCAGGACTAGATCAGTTTATCTCTCTACTCCTAGACTGGAGGTTAGAATGCAATGAACTGGAGTGGACTGCCCCAGAAAATTGCTAAACTATACTGGGGTAGTCTATGCTTTGAATGGCTGCACTTGTTTTATTCCTCTTATTAGGACATTTTTTTCAGCCATTCACCCCTCTGTCATATCTACCTTCATCTTTTTGCTTTAGACAATTGTTGTGAAATTATATTATTATATATTATGCAATTATTATAAAATTCATCTATATCTTATAATTCATATATATATACATCATTAATATAATTTAGCATAAATGGATGAAGTTACATATAAATATATTTTTCTTTTCTCTTTTTAAATACAAGACATACCAAAGGCTTATTAATGNCAGCCTAGCTCCAGGTTGAGCTGTTGTTCAGTATCTTAGCTGTAGAGGGCAGTGTCACTGACCCTCATATGTGGGATCCGAACCGGGATTCTCTGGCATCCCAAGCCAGCTCTTAACCATCGCCCCACTTGGCCGGCCGTGAAGCAGCTCTTTACATCATCATTTTGACTAGAATTTTATGGTTTTAAAACCATACACAGACCAAAAGATACTTCTTAGACATAAAACTGTTTATCCTTTACAAATATTTATGTATACATTTATTTGAATTAAATAAAAAGAAAAAGATATAAAAATGATATAAAAAGGAGGATATAAGTTTATCAGAAAGAAAGCTGTACTGAATAAGATGACTGAAAATTAAATGTAAATTACTTAGCAGACAAAGTCTGAAAAGAGGATACAAAATGTTTTTCATAGTTAACCTTGCTTCACATAAATCGTACAAGTATACTTTTCAAAAGACATTCAAGCATTCTCATGTAAATACATAAAACATTGTTATTACAAGTTCCAAAGTTTGAATGCCTTGACAAATATGGTGTAAATTTAAGTCATTTGTCTACATTATAAAAGAACACTATTGTAATGAGCTGTTTTAAAAATAACGTTCATTTAGTTTAGTGGTTACCAGATGGTGAGGGAGGGTAGTGGTATAAGAAGGTAAAGAGGGTCAAATATATTGTGATGGAAGGAGAACTGACTCTGGGTGGTGAATACACAATGTGATATACAGATAATGTATTATAAAATTGTACACTTGAAGCCTATATAATTTTACTAACCAATGTCATTCCAATAAATTTAATAAAGGTAAAAAAATAATGTTGATTTTCAAATTGTACTCATTGAAACAGGATTAATATTCACTGATTGCTATTAAAATGGAAACAGGAATATTTGGCATAGTAATGCTAATAATTTATACTAGAAATAAATACATGAGCACACCTAATTAAAGGATGTGTAGAAGAAACAGTGGAATAGTCAGGCTTAAAGAGCCATAATGACTTGATCCACATGTGTGGGATAAAGGAGATGTTGTTGAAAAGACAGCTCTAAATCTGGGCTCCCTGGAATAATAGCTGCCCCTGAAGATTTCAGGCAAATATATAAAATCTCTGTTCCTTGGCACCCATGGCTCTGACAGCCCTTTTGTGACTTGTTTCATTCTAGCCCATGAGAACTCCATTTAAAGCTGGTGAGTGATTTTTTTCTTACTGTGGGATGAATTTCAGGCAAGAATGCCCTCTACAGACTAGGTGTTATGGGGCCTAGAGTTAGTGTTCGAAAATACTAGGACCATTGTCTAGAGTTAAGTAGACAAAGTCAGAGAGACAAAAATAGTTGTGTGCTAGAGCCACTTGTACTGGCTCATTTGTGCTCATTTCTTGCAAACTCCACATTCGGTGACATCATGTTGGCACCTAGAAATAGACCATGGTAGGAGTATATACACTGCAGAAATTGGCAAATACTACAAATCAGGACTTTGTATTTACTACATATTTAATGTGTATGCATTTGAGCTGGGTTACCAGCACACCACTGAACCACAGTCATAAATATGGGCTATCCCAGTAGAATGGAAACAGTTGTCTGGGAGAGGAGAGTGTGAACATTCTGGCATGAGGAGCCTCATTAACTCTGTGTGCCAAGGACCCCTCAACTCTTCCAGAGAAGGTTCTACATTGGCTCCAGATCCCCAGATCCCCACTACTGTAAATATCCAAGACATTAAAGAGGCTTATTCGTGGCTATACTGTGATGATCCTTCAGCACACTCATCTAATATTTGTCATTTGGCTGTTTTGTTAAACATTTTGATGAGTTACACTGTGCCTTAGTGTGCTGAGATCTGGAATTGCACAGGGGAAAAAGACAATTCTCAGACCTCAGAAAGTTTAAAATCAACAGGGGAAACATTGCCAAGTAATCAAATATGCTTCTATCCTTGCGAGAGCTGTTCTGATGACTAGACAACTTGTGTAATCAGAGGGAAAGAAATGACTTATGGAGGAAAGATTCTCACGAGTACATGGCTGACATAGTGGGTAGATGGTGAAAAGTACCCTGAATAGGGGTAGTTTCCTCTCAGAAACACAGTAAGGTAAAGCAAGTAAATTCTCCAGGATGCTAAAGATATCTGGATCAAGACTAGGGGAACATTCATGAAGCATTTGAGAAGTCCTTTTAGATTTGATTAAGTAAACAAGAAACTACTCAACTACTTACAACTTTACCCATAGACCAAACCCCAAACTCTAAGCTCCTTAGCACCTCTCCTCTGTCTCCCAGGGAAAAAAAAATTCTCTTTACTTCCAAAATATCCAATGCCCATCCTCATCTCATCTATAAGCTGGTCCTCCTCAGGCTTCTCTTTTTAGTAACATCGTTTATATGTTTCTTCATTTTCATCACCANCAACCCTTGCTCAGCGCTTTGGACGCCACATCTCACCCCACATTCACACCCTGCTGGCCAATGTCTGCATTCTGGCTCCTCCTATGCTGAATCCCATCATTTATGGGATCAAGACCAAACAGATCTGGGAACAGGTGATTCATGTCTTGTTTCCAAAAGAGATATGACTTTGAGAATGGGAATCAAAGTACTGTTGTCTCAACATTTCTAGCTATACATGATGTGAGCTTTAGAAGCCCTTAGGGACAGTTGAGACTAGATAAATATTTCACCAGTCTATGTTTCTGGAGGAAGTCAACAGGAGAGCTTGGGACATGCTTTTCAAAGTCTCTGGTCAATAATAAGAGATCAATTTCTTTGTGGCCTAGTGAGCTTTCTCATGCAGCATCTGATAAATAAACCACTCCTAGTCTATAGCCCTAAATAGGTATTTGGAAAGAGATAAATTATGGATAATTGCTGAACTATTCTTTCCTGGTTTGTGTCATGCCTCGCTGTGGTAAAATAGTTCCCATTCCTCTTGCCTACATTGGGATATTACTCTACATATTATTCCCTCTGTCCTCTTTATCACAAAGTTTTATTTTTCATATGCTCACCTCCGTCTCTATACATTTTTTTATTTGTCCATCTAAAGAAAAGGAGGGAGGGAAGGAGGGAGGGAGGGAGGGAGGGAGGCTAGCAAGCAAAAACCTCTGGCACTCACATTCTCCTATAGCCTTTCCTCTGCCTCTTCTTCCTCTACTTCTTCCTGTTCATCTCCAGACTCATCCTCTTCACCTCTTCCTGGTCTTCTTCTTCTTCTTTCTCTTCATTACAGTAAAACACCTTGAAAAGATTGTCTGTACATTCAGGATTCAATGTCTTTCTCCCTATTTTTCTTGACCCCACTCCAGTCAGTCATTTTCCCTATGCCACTGCACTGCATGTCACAGGAACCTCCACACTGCTGAATTCAGTGGTCACTACTCAGGCTACATCATACATGACACATCAGCAGCATTTGATGCACTGAATCATGCATTCTTGAAATGCCTCACTCACTTCAGAAAGTATATTAGAAATTAAATATATATGAAAATCACCCATTTTTTCAACATGGAAATATTCACTGCTAATATCATTCTTTTTAAATTACTATATAGTTTTCTCTGTGTATATGTGTACAGGTAAATAAAAATTTTAATTGAACTATGTTATACCTACTCTTCTGGAATGTACTTTTCTCACTTAACAAAGTAATGTAGACATAGTCCCATGCCCAAACTATACACCATACACATATGTTAATTTAGCCAGGCATACTTTGTTTCCTTTGTGATCCTCAAAAGTGTTTCAAAATCAAATAAGCATTACATTATTTCAATGTAAAGTTTTGTTTCTACTTAATTTTGCTTCTACTTGAATAATTATAGTATTTTAAAAATATATGTTGATTTTTTCAACAGAAATACACAATAACCATTTTTTTTCAAAATAGAATATTTGCTGCTAATATTTTACAACAAATTGCTATAAATTTTCTACTGTGTATGTGTGTACAGGTAAATAATTTTTTAATTGGACAATATTCCATCTACACTTCTAGAATGCATCTTTCTCACTTAGCAAAATAATGTGGAT